TTCTAGTTCAGTTCTAGTTCAGTTCTAGTTCAGTTCTAGTTCAGTTCTACTTCAGTTCTAGTTCAGTTCTAGTTTAGTTCTAGTTCAGTTCTAGTTCAGTTCTAGTTCAGTTCTAGTTCAGTTCTAGTTCAGTTCTAGTTCAGTTCTAGTTCAGTTCTAGTTCAGTTCTAGTTCAGTTCTAGTTCAGTTCTAGTTCAGTTCTAGTTCAGTTCTAGTTCAGTTCTAGTTCAGTTCTAGTTCAGTTCTAGTTCAGTTCTAGTTCAGTTCTAGTTCAGTTCTAGTTCAGTTCTAGTTCAGTTCTAGTTCAGTTCTAGTTCAGTTCTAGTTCAGTTCTAGTTCAGTTCTAGTTCAATTCTAGTTCAGTTCTAGTTCAGTTCTAGTTCAGTTCTAGTTCAGTTCTAGTTCAGTTCTAGTTCAGTTCTAGTTCAGTTCTAGTTCAGTTCTAGTTCAGTTCTAGTTCAGTTCTAGTTCAGTTCTAGTTCAGTTCTAGTTCAGTTCTAGTTCAGTTCTAGTTCAGTTCTAGTTCAGTTCTAGTTCAGTTCTAGTTCAGTTCTAGTTCAGTTCTAGTTTAGTTCTATTTCAGTTCTAGTTCAATTCTGGTTCAGTTTTAGTTCAGTTCTAGTTCAGTTCTAGTTCAGTTCTAGTTCAGTTCTAGTTCAGTTCTAGTTCAGTTCTAGTTCAGTTCTAGTTCAGTTCTAGTTCAGTTCTAGTTCAGTTCTAGTTCAGTTCTAGTTCAGTTCTAGTTCAGTTCTAGTTCTAGTCCAGTTCTAGTTCAGCTCTAGTTCAATTCTAGTTCAATTCTTGTTCAGTTCTAGTTCAGTTCTAGTTCAGTTCTAGTTCAGTTCTAGTTCAGTTCTAGTTCAGTTCTAGTTCAGTTCTAGTTCAGTTCTAGTTCAGTTCTAGTTCAGTTCTAGTTCAGTTCTAGTTCAGTTCTAGTTCAGTTCTAGTTCAGTTCTAGTTCAGTTCTAGTTCAGTTCTAGTTCAGTTCTAGTTCAGTTCTAGTTCAGTTCTAGTTCAGTTCTAGTTCAGTTCTAGTTCAGTTCTAGTTCAGTTCTAGTTCAGTTCTAGTTCAGTTCTAGTTCAGTTCTAGTTCAGTTCTAGTTCAGTTCTAGTTCAGTTCTAGTTCTAGTCCAGTTCTAGTTCAGCTCTAGTTCAGTTCTAGTTCAGTTCTAGTTCAGTTCTAGTTCAGTTCTAGTTCAGTTCTAGTTCAGTTCTAGTTCAGTTCTAGTTCAGTTCTAGTTCAGTTCTAGTTCAGTTCTAGTTCAGTTCTAGTTCAGTTCTAGTTCAGTTCTAGTTCAGTTCTAGTTCAGTTCTAGTTCAGTTCTAGTTCAGTTCTAGTTCAGTTCTAATTCAGTTCTAGTTCAGTTCTAGTTCAGTTCTAGTTCAGTTCTAGTTCAGTTCTAGTTCAGTTCTAGTTCAGTTCTAGTTCAGTTCTAGTTCAGTTCTAGTTCAGTTCTAGTTCAGTTCTAGTCAGTTCTAGTTCAGTTCTAGTTCAGTTCTAGTTCAGTTCTAGTTCAGTTCTAGTTCAGTTCTAGTTCAGTTCTAGTTCAGTTCTAGTTCAGTTCTAGTTCAGTTCTAGTTCAGTTCTAGTTCAGTTCTAGTTCAGTTCTAGTTCAGTTCTAGTTCAGTTCTAGTTCAGTTCTAGTTCAGTTCTAGTTCAGTTCTAGTTCAGTTCTAGTTCAGTTCTAGTTCAGTTCTAGTTCAGTTCTAGTTCAGTTCTAGTTCAGTTCTAGTTCAGTAGTTCTAGTTCAGTTCTAGTTCAGTTTAGTTCAGTTCTAGTTCAGTTTCTAGTCCAGTTCTAGTTCAGTTCTAGTTCAGTTCTAGTTCTAGTCCAGTTCTAGTTCAGTTCTAGTTCAGTTCTAGTTCAGTTCTAGTTCAGTTCTAGTTCAGTTCTAGTTCAGTTCTAGTTCAGTTCTAGTTCAGTTCTAGTTCAGTTCTAGTTCAGTTCTAGTTCAGTTCTAGTTCAGTTCTAGTTCAGTTCTAGTTCAGTTCTAATTCAGTTCTAGTTCAGTTCTAGTTCAGTTCTAGTTCAGTTCTAGTTGTTCTAGTTCAGTTCTAGTTCAGTTCTAGTTCAGTTCTAGTTCAGTTCTAGTTCAGTTCTAGTTCAGTTCTAGTTCTTCTAGTTCAGTTCTAGTTCAGTTCTAGTTCAGTTCTAGTTCAGTTCTAGTTCAGTTCTAGTTCAGTTCTAGTTCAGTTCTAGTTCAGTTCTAGTTCAGTTCTAGTTCAGTTCTAGTTCAGTTCTAGTTCAGTTCTAGTTCAGTTCTAGTTCAGTTCTAGTTCAGTTCTAGTTCAGTTCTAGTTCAGTTCTAGTTCAGTTCTAGTTCAGTTCTAGTTCAGTCTAGTTCAGTTCTAGTTCAGTTCTAGTTCAGTTCTAGTTCAGTTCTAGTTCAGTTCTAGTTCAGTTCTAGTTCAGTTCTAGTTCAGTTCTAGTTCAGTTCTAGTTCAGTTCTAGTTCAGTTCTAGTTCAGTTCTAGTTCAGTTCTAGTTCAGTTCTAGTTCAGTTCTAGTTCAGTTCTAGTTCAGTTCTAGTTCAGTTCAGTTCTAGTTCAGTTCTAGTTCAGTTCTAGTTCAGTTCTAGTTCAGTTCTAGTTCAGTTCTAGTTCAGTTCTAGTTCAGTTCTATTCAGTTCTAGTTCTAGTTCAGTTCTAGTTCAGTTCTAGTTCAGTTCTAGTTCTGTTAGTTCTAGTTTCAGTTTCTAGTTCAGTTCTAGTTCAGTTCTAGTTCAGTTCTAGTTCAGTTCTAGTTCAGTTCTAGTTCAGTTCAGTTCTAGTTCTAGTTCAGTCTAGTTCAGTTCTAGTTCAGTTCTAGTCTAGTTCAGTCAGTTCTAGTTCAGTTCTAGTTCAGTTCTAGTTCAGTTCTAGTTCAGTTCTAGTTCAGTTCTAGTTCAGTTCTAGTTCAGTTCTAGTTCAGTTCTAGTTCAGTTCTAGTTCAGTTCTAGTTCAGTTCTAGTTCAGTTCTAGTTCAGTTCTAGTTCAGTTAGTTCAGTTCTAGTTCAGTTCTAGTTCAGTTCTAGTTCAGTTCTAGTTCAGTTCTAGTTCAGTTCTAGTTCAGTTCTAGTTCAGTTCTAGTTCAGTTCTAGTTCAGTTCTAGTTCAGTTCTAGTTCAGTTCTAGTTCAGTTCTAGTTCAGTTCTAGTTCAGTTCTAGTTCAGTAGTTCAGTTCTAGTTCAGTTCTAGTTCAGTTCTAGTTCAGTTCTAGTTCAGTTCTAGTTCAGTTCTAGTTCAGTTCTAGTTCAGTCTAGTTCAGTTCTAGTTCAGTTCTAGTTCAGTTCTAGTTCAGTTCTAGTTCAGTTCTAGTTCAGTTCTAGTTCAGTTCTAGTTCAGTTCTAGTTCAGTTCTAGTTCAGTTCTAGTTCAGTTCTAGTTCAGTTCTAGTTCAGTTCTAGTTCAGTTCTAGTTCAGTTCTAGTTCAGTTCTAGTTCAGTTCTAGTTCAGTTCTAGTTTCAGTTCTAGTTTTCTAGTTCAGTTCTAGTTCAGTTCTAGTTCAGTTCTAGTTCAGTTCTAGTTCAGTTCTAGTTCAGTTCTAGTTCAGTTCTAGTTCAGTCTAGTTCAGTTCTAGTTCAGTTCTAGTTCAGTTCTAGTTCAGTTCTAGTTCAGTTCTCGTTCAGTTCTAGTTCAGTTCTAGTTCAGTTCTAGTTCAGTCTCGTTCAGTTCTAGTCAGTTCTAGTTCAGTTTTAATACAGTTCTAGTTCAGTTCAGATGAATATTCTTATATTTGCTAAAATCATGTTAAAGAAAAACTGGCATTTTTGAAGAAAAGTTCCAGCCAATCAGATTATTTCAAAATAAACTTTCTTTACTTGTTTGTATGAATGTTAACATTTGGTTTAACTCTCTCAGTTAATTAAAACTATCCTCATATTCATGAACAAGTACTGTAAATAATTTTTTCACTTTTTATTATTGTATATCCAGTGTGGGCGTTGAAATTAAACGTAATATTTTCTTTTGTACTTTTGTTTATTTAAAGAAAATTAAATAAGAAGAAAAATTAAACACAAATATTGGAAGTGCTCTCTATTGAGTCTATATACAGGTGCAAGAAATTAAAAAAAAAAAGAAACAAAATAAATGGCAATAAATGTTAATAAATGGTATTGAAAGAGTGATTAAATGCCGGTAGTATTTTAAGTTCTTTTTATATTCTGGGAAATTTTCCTTGTGAATGGAAATATGTATAGAGGATTGTTTAAATATTTAAAAAGAGAAAAATTAAAATTTGTTTAAGAATAGATAAAAATTTCAAAATGAATTATTTCGATAATCTAAAATATAAAGAGAATAACTATTTAAACTCTTAAATATATAAATTATGTTAAATTATAATAATTAATTGACTCACCTGTAACAATTTGTTCTTCGGGTTTTTTTATTTTCATTACGCTTAAAAACAAAATCACCTAATGCTCGCGATAATGCCAGATTACCATTAACACGATTGAATTCAACCCAACCGCCACCCTCATTGATACGTTTCGATTCAGCTTCATTATTTGGTTTATGATCCATCGATAAAGTCATTACCTCTCCATTAATACAGGCCACGGCACGTGAGTCACCGGCATTGGCACAATATAAACGATTATCTTTAATTAAAACTACAACAGCTGTGGAACCAGCCATTTGTTCGCCCCATGATTCATTATATAACATTTCATAATCGATATCTAAAAGGCCTATTAAAAAAGAACAAAACAATTCAATGAATATTGATTAAAAATATAAAAATCTTCAAATAAAACTTGCCTGTTTTTAAAGCCTCTTCCACATTCTCCTTATACTCAGGTCTTTTTAAGATGAATTTGTGTAAATGTTTGCCGGCATATTGTGCCACCGTAGCACCGCCATGACCATCATAAACGGCAAAGAATGAGGTGCCCGGATCATCGGGTAAGGAGAGTATATGTGTGTGAGAATCTTCCATATTTATACGCCAACCCTGCATACAGCTAGAACCCACTCGATACATTTCATTTTGACAATAAGCTGATTCCTTAGAGGTT